GCATAGAGTTTTAATCTAATTAATTATAATAACTGTGATCGTTTTTACACAAAACCAATCGTGCCATGAGAAATTTTGAGCCGAGAAATATGATACGGCGGTTTTACTCGAATTTTGGCAAAAATTGACTGCATTTTTCACTGCACGCTTCATACGTAAATATAATTTCAGTATACCTCCAGATAGTTGTCAATCCCTTCCATTCTAAAAAATAGCCCGAGTGCGCCACTGTCCGAATATTATCCTCTTCCTCTTGCTTTAATCAAGGAATAGAGAGAACCTGACACACCTGAATCGTTTTATTCGGAATGGTGAGAACTTTCTCCACTAACGGCGGATAATTTATTCAAATAGATTCCATGGGATAAAGGATTTATTATATTCCTACTCAAAATTAACATTATCTGATAAAATATGTTTATTCTTTTTAGATTTTATATTAACATCCACTCAATAAAATATTAATGTATCTATATAGATGAAAACTTTGTATAACTTTAAAATAAAAAAACGAAAAATATTTTTAATTAACTGTTTGTAAGTTAATTATAGAATTACATTAATAACGAATATCGGGAAAACACAAATTAAACATTTATAAAATGTGTTGGAAAAAAACTTGGGATTCACAATCCTGAGGTAATAATAGGCGGTTGAAGCGTAATAGCCACATTACCTTTCTTGTATACCGAACGGCTGGCTCTAGCATGGCAAGCTGTACCTTGCCTACTCCCAAGGCGTTAAAATACAAACGGGAGCTATTATTATATTAAAATGTGCTTCAGAACCACGAAAATTATGAACATTAAATATTTCCGAAATTATGCAATTGAAATTTCTAAGTATTCTTCTTTATCGTTTAAAAAATTATATTTCATGCTACTACATGAATATTCATACTGTATCATCATTTTTATTATGGAGATTGTCAGTATTAAAAAATTTGTTGATAAATAAAATAGAATGTTTATAATATTGTGAACAAAAGCCAAAATGCCTTAAGTTAATTTGATTTGATTAGCAAACTTTCGTTAGTAATCATTTGTGTGGGTTTACGGTTTAGTAATAAAATTTGGTATTATTAAGACTTTTTCGTTTATCAAACTTTGGATAACTGGTAACAGTAAACAACAACAAAAATAATGGTTCTAAAAACTTTTTAATTATAATTGATTTACTTTTTGTCCTTTGTTCTTTCAGCTATAAATAAATATCATAAGCATGATTATTGATTTTTATTATACTATACTTATTTATTTCAAAATATATATATATTAAAAATGTTTCCAACAAATTCTCTGATAAAATCAAAAAAGGAAAGTGGGCTAAATTGAATCTAAATATGAAGGGTAGAAGAAAAACACGTCAATTTCTTAATTTGATAGAATTTATAATTTTAAAATATTATATTAGATCTAATTGGTCCCTACAAAATTAGTATTATTTTTTTTATCTTCTGTTGGTAAAATGGATTAGATTAAAGAAAAATGCGAGCTGCGACTGACTGGAAACATCGCTATGTGGAGATACCGATAATCTTTTGCAATGTAATCTAGTATAATATAGTATAAATAATAGGTATAAGTACGTAAATAGTTCTAATGATGGAAATGTAGGCGAAAGAAAATTGTTTTTTCAAATGTGTTACGACTTCCGGTGAGCACGGGTAGTAATCAATATGGTGTGAATGACTACGAATACGAATGCACACAAATGCCAACGAACGACTGATAACATTAATTTGTCAGATGCATTTTATAATTAAAGGATTAATAACTCATGGCGTATAAGTAATAAAACATTTTGGAATAATGCCATGCCAAAATACTAATAATAAAACCGACAGCTGAAACAAAATAATGTTTTTCTATACAGAGTCAGTTTTCTACGATGTTCTCTATGGGTATATATCTATATATCTATGGGTATATAAAGTACTGGAGCTAGAGTCGGTTAAATTGGGAAAAATTGGGCGCCTCTCGATTTTTGAAAACAATTATGGCTTACTAGATACTTGGAAAATAACTAATTTCGGCTATTTTATAAAATCTCCCTAATTCCATTATAATCTATTTTAGACAAAAAGTTTTCAAATGAAACTTGTAGATAATCACATCTTTACTTACATTTGATTCTGTTCTCCGTTTTTTTTAGAAAACCGGTTATTTTTGACATATGACACAAACATATGGTTTTTAAATGAAAACCATAGTTGGCAATGACCTCAAGCGCCATTTTTAAGCTTTTCAGCGAAATTATATATTTTTTTAAAATTACTGAGTTATAGCCAATTTTTATCTTTTTTAAACAATTTCACTAAGTTAGCCATGGAAACAAGTTTAATCGTCGTTGCTCTCAGAGATGTCAAACTGTCATCCAAACAAAAATAGCCTATCGAGACGCAACTAAATTGTAAATATGAATAAATTTTTCAAATGAAGAAAATTTTCGGGGATACATTGACCGGTGAATGTTACTTACGCTTATTAGAAAACGGTTTTCAAGACATGTTAGAAAAGTTAAATTTAGAGACTCGGGCATCATTATAGTGGTTCCAACATGACTTTAATTATGACGATCCCCTTCATAATGAAATAAATGTTAAAAATTATTTATATCATAATTATGCAAACTCAGGGATATAAAGATGTGGACTAATTGCATGGTCCTTCTCGGTCGCCTAACCTATCCGTTTTAGATAGATTTTATGCGGTGTGATTAACAACAAGCTTTACAAGAGAACTTATTAATCAAGAGAGATACACGGGAAAAGTTTAATAAAGATAGCCGGCCGTTCTGTGAGAAAATATTGAAAATATTGCAAATTCTGCAAATTATTGCATATTTAAAAATATGCATTTCGTGTACTCAATCTAATTTCGTATACAATGGCGCATATTTTGAACATTTGCTAAAATAACTTAGAGTGTATGTAGTGATATTAGTTTTTGAGTTTTAATTTGTTTAATGCAAATTGTAAAAGACCGTTTAATAAAATATTCTCTCTTTTTATAAGTTTTAAACCATAATATAATAAGAATACCAACCCAAAATTATCCAAGTGAAATTAACCAAAAAAAGATAAGAATTGGCTATATCTCAGTAATTTTTCGAAAAAACGTATTATAGGTTATATCGCTGGAAAGGCTAAGCTGTATGCACACTGGTGCGATCACGGCCGCGGCCAAAAGTTGCTGAAGAATACATAATATGAGCCGTTTCACATTGGTGCGATCGAGTTTTGGAGACGAAGCGGCCTGGCGGCGTTCTATTCTGCGGTGGCGATCAGATTCAACTTGTCGAGTTTGATCGCGTGATCGCGACCCAACTGAGTGGAATTTTCCGTTATTTTGTGTGTTTTTTCTTGTTGCAATTTAGAAATGGAGTTAACAGAGCCTAGTTAAGGCTGTAAAAATACACACCATTCTACATGATTTATCCGATCCAAGTTACAAAAATAATAAAATTAAAAATAAAAAATTTGAGACAAAATTGAAGTTGCAATTGGATTGGATAGTAGTATACATTTTTATTGTTTAAGTTTAAATATTGTAGGTAAATATTAAAGAATGTTTTTTTCGGTATACATAATTCACATTTTTAATTTGTACTTATGTATATATACAGGATAGCTCACTACATATTGGTACCGCGGTGAACGTAAACGCGTTGGTGCGTGCTAGAATGATCGCTCATGTTATCGCTGCTCTGATCGTGATCGCGGCCGTGATCGCACCAGTGTGCGTGTAGCTTTAAAAATGACGCTTTTTATGAAGTCATGGCCAACTATAGTTTCCATTTAAAAAACTGGTGTTTTTATGTCATATGTCCAAAATGACAGAGTTTAGAAAAAGAAACGGAGAACACAGTCTCATTAAGGAAGGTATTATCTACAACTTTGATGTGAAAACTTTTGGGCTAAAATATACTATAATGCAACTAGGGAACATTATTAAAATAGCCGAAATTTTTTTTTTCGAAATATCTAGTAAGTCATGCACTTTATAAAAAAATCCGAAAGACGCATATTTATGACCCCACAAAACTGCAATTCTTTGTTCATTTAACCAACTCTTTATCTTCAGTAGTTTGCAAGGTACTCATAGAGTTGTTGTATAATTCAAACTAGCAAATCATAGAACAATGTCCGAATATATCTTCCTAATAATATTCCGATTACTTGTCTGAACTCTCGCAGTTTCTAGGCACTTTTCATACAAACTATCAAAAAATACCGTTTCCTAATGTTTTGGCAAAAGAACACGCTTACTCACCACAATACACCAAAACACTTACTTCTGCATTGGACGAGCGTTTAGGTACATTCAGGCTGAGGGCGTCGAGCGTCGCGTCGCGTTTGCGTCGCGTCTGCCCCATTGAACTCGAACCCCGACGCTAAGCGGAAACTAGCGCAACGCAAAACGCGACGCTGTCTGCCTGAACGATCTAATTTAAGTAAAGTGAATTGATTCCACTCCGACACGCGGACGCGACGCGACGCTCTCAGCCTGAATCTACCTTTTCGCTAACCATGTTAGCATCATCAGCGAATGATAATAAAAATGATTGTTGAGTTTTTAATTATCTGTTAATGATGCTAACATGGTTAGCGAAACGCGCATCCAGTGCAAATGTAAATTATTTTGGTGTATTGTGGTGAATTAGTGTTTTATATTGCTCTTATAACACCAAAGGTTCCAAACCCAACTGTAATCATCTTTTAACAATTTTGTAATCTTTGGTATCCAAACTGGATAATTAAGTTTCAAAATTAAACTTCTTTCTAATCTTTAACATTATTCTAGTTTTTTTATTAAACGACAAAATTAATATCCACACAAACTTTTATACGGATGAGTATCCAGTGTCACCACGGAGTAAACTAACACCCTGTACACGCACGTGCGGCGATCCACTCCGATCCACAGCACAGCGGCGTAGCACCCTTTGCACGCCCCCTACCGGCAGCGCAACGGTCCGACGCGCGACCTCCTCGGCGTCGCGACGGCAGTGTTCCAGGTGCCGGTGTAACACGTAGACGTCGCGCCGCGTCGTCCTCAATTCCAACGGTCCACGAAACGTCGCCTCCATAGGCGGAGGAGGTGGAGGGTTGACGGTGTCATGCGACGCTGCCGTCGTCGTACAGTGGCGGCGGAACCTGAGCGACTAACCGAGTGATCGGACGTCACTGCTTTTTGCCGGTTGTGGATGTTTTTCTTACTGTTAATGATGTAAGGTGTGACGTTGTTTTCAGACATATCATTGGGGCAATACTAGGTCAAGTTTAGGCTGTTTTTAAACCTGGATTAGTTAAATTACAAGGTAAATAAATTAGAAAGTTTTTTGACCAATTTCAAATTAATTTCTATTAGGTTAGTTGTTTAATTTTTTATGTCGCTATATTTATATGAGGCCGGCAGTGGCTCCAGCAGTTGTATCTGTTGTTGAGCCAGGGGTACTGGGTTCGACTCTAGCTAGTAAGGGTGCTCTATTTATTCTTCTAATGTAACATTTTCCTGAGCAACGGCTCCGTTACGTTATAACACCGGATTCCCAATAGATCACCGAAGTTTAGCGACGTTAGACGATTCGATTAAATGAACGGGCGGCCCTCTGGAAACTCTATCGTGCTGTTATGCCAATGCAAAAGTGTAAAATCTATTGGCACACACTGCTTATTCAAGCCAGTTCGAGGCCGGATGAGATCGGATATCTTGTGAGTAAGAGTAGATTTAGACACTCGCCAAGTCGGTAATACATTGACAATGATATGGCCGAAGACACTAGTTCGGATTCCGCGTAAAAAAGTAGGCCAGATTAGCACTAGCAGAAAAAAGGAGAAGTAAACTTAAAATTCTTTACTTTAATATTTTCCATTGCAGTGTGTAGTAACGACTGTAGATCATGTTGCCTGACCGCTGTCGGATGTTTCTCAGCCAAGCATTTTCTTCTCTATTTTAAGGATTCTCCGATACAGCCACATCTCGAAGGCCTCTAATTTGTAGCACTCAATATGTTAGCACTTAATTAATCTTACTCTTAGGTGAAAATCGAAACGATAAGTACTGTTATAGACATTATTGAGGTTGCCCAAGAATGTCTATCGGGTTTGTTCGATACTTCATTTAGTTTCCTTGTCTGACGTTCAATCTTCAAAGAGCCATTTGCCCAAGTACTTAAATTTGCCTACAGTTTCTATGGGCTTTGTGTTAAAAGCTATGGTTGAGATTTGAAACATCGAAACTAAGAATTTCGGACTTGTCTTTATTTATTTTGCTTACATAACGTTTTGGTCAGGAGTATTACTCACCTTTATCAAGTGTAAACTAAGAATACCTGCATTGGGAGCGATTTATGAGTGGTTGCCATATTATTTAAATTTCCATACTTGGATTGTTAAGATTTTATTATTGATAGATCTGAATACAGCCTTTTTAAATTTGCCCTTTTTCCAATGGGGTTCTTTGAGGACAACACGGGCTAAAAATGTTTTAAACATACGCAAGGAAGTAAAATAATAAAATCTGGCATTGCAGAGCATGTATGGTCCAAACACCAAAACATAAAATGGTCGGAAGCCCAGGTTGTCCACAAAGAACCCCATTGGAAAACGCGTAAACTTTCGCTTTTCAAGAGCCGTATTCATATTTAACAATAATAAAACCAAGCAATCCAAGTATCGAAATTTCAACAATATAGCAATCACTCATAAAACGATCCAATGCAGGTATTTTTAGTGGATGCTTGACTGCACCCAACTAATTCACGGGTGAATGCTCGGCTCGAGTACATAAGCTTAGTAGTTTTAGGATTTAGGTCAGTAATACTTTTGATCGAAACGTTGTGGTAAATGAAGATAATGAAAGCCAAAATTATTTTAGTTTCAATACTGAATCGTTGTCTAATACATTCAATGTAATTTTAAACATATTTGGGTTTCTGCATCGCCCTATTATTTCAATATACATTCAAAAAAGAAAACAAAAACAGAGTTATTCATGCTAAAAGAACGACCGGTAAACACCCCACTTCAAGAACGGCAATGATCAACCATCTTGTATATATTTGCCTAGCGAAACCTCTCAAATCGAACATTTGGTATGACGCAGGTAGGTCTGTAAATCCTATGTACTTATCAAACACTGGTGATGCACGTCACAGGTACATGTGCGACAATCCGCCTAAGGGTACGTTTATGTTGGAGGTGCGATAAACGATAAAAGCAGTGAATTAGCGCTGCTCTTATCGTTGCTCAACTGCCAACAGTGTCTCGACGCGTTGCTCCAATATAAACACCGACATATAAATTAATATAATAATATTCTTTGCTTCGCTACTATCGCTGCTCTTATCGTTTATCGCCGCTCCAACATAAACGCACCCTAACGCTCTTTACAGAAACACGGCGTTCTGAGAAAAATATATTACTTTCTATATTATATTTATTATTATTAAGCCAATGAGAATAAAATAATATTCACTTGAATACCGCGACATATTGGTATCAAAGGTAATAAATTTGCCGATTTTCAATGAGCTAATTTCCCCTTCTGTAGACCCAACCTTTTAATTGGTGTATTAAGAAATTAATAAACTTTAATCTTAATTTTTTTAAACCAATATCTTTTGACATTATCTCTCTGCAGTCCTAAAACTATTATTTACCTATCGCGTGATGTCGTTATATTACCTACAGCTACTCCAGTTTTTAGTACCATATACGAGATGGTATATAAACTTTATTGGTTTCTATTGGTGGCTCTTTGGGTACCGAATATTACTTATAAACTGTGTTCTGGATCTACAGTTAATTTTTCTTCGATTTTTCCTACATTTTACCATAGTATAAGGAAACTAGTAGCTTTACTCCTTGCCAAATAATTTGTTCGTTTTCTGTCACTTTATATGACCTTGTTCTCGCGTCCCGTGACACACTGACGTAGCTGTATGTCGTCGTATGTAGTCCTGGTCTACAAATAGGCAAAGTATAGTCGTGGCACTCATACGCACGCCATAGTTTCACAGAGATGTATTTACGAAAATATTTGTTCACAATAAAATAAAATAAAAAAAAATGATCATTGAGTAAAAATTTGCTTGAAAACAGATTATTTTCACATTTCGTGTTCCTTTCGTGTACCCTAATTCTTCTCTATCTGAAAATCTTCTAATAGGAAGAAATGCGGAAAAAATACATAATGACATATTTTTATATTATTATCTGTTTCAAAGATTTTCTACACCTTTTTTTAATTTAAAACAAGTTTAATTTTAACATTAATGTGTTTGTTTTGTAGTAATATATTGGTTAGGTGATTTTTATTTGATAACTAATACATTGACCAACACATTGTACTAAATAATAAAATAACATATTTAGACTTCAATAATTGCTAATCATTACTGAAATTTCAAAAGAGAAAAGCAGCAAGAACAATGAGAAATAGCCTAACTACTTTCTCACGTAATAAAAGAATAATTTTTTAGTTATTGTTACCGAGTCCCGAAGGTACCGAAAGAACCGGGAATTAATAATTTCCGGTTCTGAACCCTAGTTACCATATTATCAAGAAATTATGTCTTTTAACTAAAAACTAAAAAAAATTCCAGATTTTTTTTTAATTGCGCAAAAAAATCCTCATATTTCTAGGGCTAAAATAAACTACCCCTAAAAATATTTGCACTTATTTAAACTCACCCTGTATATGGCGATTCACGGTTACGGTACATTATAGCGTGTCCGGGACCGGAGCTGTTTTTCGGAACGTAATTTCGGTACCATGTCTCTAAGGAATCGGGATTTCCATGTTTTTTTCAGTACTTTCGGTACTTGCAAATTTTTGTTCAATGATGGTGCAGTTCATTAAACAGCAAACAAGAGATGGTTGTCAAAAGTAAAATCGATAAAAAATTGAGGTTTAAATGAAAATAATATCAAATTATTAAGTAGTAATCAGTCATGACAAAATTAACCTGAACACAAACAAGATCACAAATGACTCTCGAAAAAAAACTGAAAGCAACTATTAAGTAATTTGGCAAGAGTTTGACAAGCATCAAAAATCTTAAGTCGAGTTCATATGCATCTGCGTCCGTAAATCGTTCATCGTTCCGTCACTCCAATAATATTGAAATACGATTTGTCATATTTGAAATAAACCAATAAAACTGGTTAAAAACAACAAGGGATGACGCATGACGGATTTATATATAAACTCATCCATAGTTAACTTAAAAAATATCCGAAAATTTTTAGTGAAATAAATGGATTCGTATGGACGTCATCTGCCTTTTTTTCTGTCATCGCTTGTCGAAATCTTACCCGAGTAAAAAAACAGAGTATACTAACCTCTACAGACGGCTGAGCACAAAATGTTTAATTTATTTCTTGTCCGTTAAGCCAATTTGTTTTATTAGTAAAATACCACTGCCAAATTCGTCTGCGTTGGATCCACTGATCCATTGATCCACATAAATAAAGAAAATGGAAGTTCGAAATTCTTTTAGTTTCAATACCCAATCATTGTCTATCACATTGAAAGAAACCCTGTAATTTAAAGTTTTCCCATTTTAATAATCTCTATATCAATACAACCATTCTGTAAACATCATAATTCATTTCCATCTGTTTGCTATATTATCTGTAGCAAAAACTCTCAAAAAATCACCGAGAAATGATAAACTGTGTCTCCAGCGAAAAGAAAACCAATAAATTTCGTCGTTCAATAAAAAAACTCGAACGATATTATTCCAAGATGGGAAAAAACTTCCATTTTAAAAGCAATTTATCCATCGTGGATGGCGCAGATCGGAAAAACATTAGAAAAGTCCATTTTCTCTTAAGAGTATGTCTGGAAGTGCAGGTGCCTGCAAACTGAGAGCTTTCAGATAAAGCAATCGGGAAATTATTATGAAGGAATATTCGGACATCGTTCTGCGATTTACCATTTTTAATTGGATAGAATAAAAAGTTATTTAAATTCAATTTATCTTCTTATATCTTTTGATCTGAATGAGAAAATTTGGCATTTGCCAAAAATTACCATATTTAACATAAATATTTAAAATATTGAAATTAAATTATAGCAAGAACTTTTTAACTTTTTTTTCCACATACATATAAGTAAGTATATTTGACGGGGGCATATCAGACGTACAGGGTGTCCCATTTTGGTGAAAACTATGCGGTATATCCGTTATTAGTAAAGATAGGAGCATGCGGTTTGTACAAACCTGTCCCACTTTTTAGTCAAATGGAAGATGCTGCAAGCAAAATTTTCATAGCCCTCTTAGCAGTATACCTACTAATAAAAATGATCTTT